ATATGTTTATTGAAGACAGCAGATATTTTATGTCTTACATTTTTATCCATTAAACTACCCTATATTTTTGATTGGAGAATTTAGTCCATTTACATTTAATGTTATTACTGATAAAGACTTATTGCTATCATTTTGTTATTTGTTTTCTGGTTGTTTTTTTGCTTTCCTTCTTGTCTTCCTTGTTGCAAAACTGGTGATATGTTTTCATTTCTTGCTTTTTATTCTTTATATCTGTGGTAAGCTTTTTGATTTGTGGTTCTTGTGAGGCTTGCAAATAACATCATATAGCCCACTATTTATAAACTGATGACAACTTAACTCTGATTGCAAAAACAAGCAGAGAGAAAACCTGATAAAAACTCTCCCCTTTAACTTCTTCTTGCCTGTATTTTAACTCTTTGTTTGTATTTATATCTTGTTATAATGTCTATGTCTTAAAAAGTTGTAGTTTGTTCATGCACCACAATTAAAGTCTTACATAGTCCATATTTGTCTGTGCACTTCTTACCAGTGAGTTTTGTGCCTTAAGGTGATTTTTTATTGCTCATTAACGTCATTTTCTTTAAGACTGAAGTACTCCCTTTAGCATTTCTTGTAGGTCAGGTTTAGAGTTAACAAAATCCCTCAGCTTTTGTTTGTCTGAGAAAGTCTTAATTTCTCTTTCATATTTGAAGGATATTTTTGCTGGATATAATATTCTAGGATAAAAGTATTTATACTTCAGCACTTTAAGTGTGCTATGCAACTCTCTCCTGGCCTGTAAGGTTTCCACTGGTAAGTATGCTGCTAGGTGTACTGGAACTCCTTTATATGTTATTTGATTATTTTCTTTTGGTGCTTTTAGGATCCTATCTTTATCCTTGATCTTTAAATGTCTTGTGGAAGTATTATTTGGGTAAAATCTGCATTGTGTTCTATAACCTTCTTGTCCTTGAATATTGATACATTTCTCTGGGCTTGTAAAGAGATATTTCCATTACTATCTGTTTGAATAAAATTTCTGCCTGAATCAATCCCTCTTTTTCTGCATAGTCTTTAAGGCCAATAACTTTTAGATTTGCTTTTTTGAGGTTATTTTCTAGATCCTGTAGGCCTGTTTCATTGTTTTGTTTTTGTTTTTTGTCTCTTACTTTTAGATCCTATCTTTATCCTTGACCAGTCGCATCTTAATTAATAAATAAAACAAGGTAATTTTATTTGGGTTAAATTTCTTTGATGGTCTATTTTGGGCAGTATAAAGACATCTGTGTTGGTATATAAGACCCACCTAGATAATTGAAAGTAATCTCCTCAAGATTCTTAACATAATTATATTTGCAAANTCCTATCTCTTTCTCTACCTCCTCTGGCTACTTTTTAGATCTTGTAAGTGTGCACATCATTATTTTTGATTCTTTTCTCTTTTATCTCCTTTGTGCATTTTCAAATACCTTGTCTTCAAGCTCACTAATTCTTCTGCTTGATCATTCCGCTGTTGACAGACTCTAACGCATTCTTCAGTTTGTCAACTGAATTTTTCAGTCCCAGAATTTCTGCTTGATTTTTCAAAAGTATTTTAATCTCTTTGTCAAATTTATCTGATAGCATTCTGAATTCCTTCTCCATTAAATTGCATTTCCTCGGGCTTCCTCAAAACAGCTATTTTAATATATATATATATATATATATATATATATATATATATTTTTTTTTGTCTGAAAGGTCACCTATCTCTGTCACTTCAGGACTGGTTACTGGTAATTTATTTAGTTTGTTTGGGAGGTCACAGTTTCCTTGATGGTCTTGACGCTTGTTGATATTTGCCAGTGTCTGGTCATTGCATAATTACTTATTGCAGCCTTCACAGCTCAGGCTTGTTTAATATTGATCCTTGGGAAGGCATTCTAAATATATGAAGAATTGTGATCTCACACTTTGGTCATTGTAGTGGTAACTGTATTAAGAGGTTCCAATCTTGTTGACTAACAGAGGTACTACTTTGATGGTCTTGGGTAAGATCTGAGATAATTCACTGGATTATTACGCAGAATCTCTTGTTCTCTTCCCTTACTTTCCCCCAAACAAAGGAGGTCTCTCACTCCATCCTGAGCTATCTGGAATTGGAGGAAGGGGTGATACAAGCAAGTTCACTGACAACACCACTGGGACTGTGCTGGGTCACACTTGAAGCCAGCACAGTACTAGGCTTCACCCAAGTCTCTGGTGACTATTACCTGGCTACCAGTGATGTTTAGTCAAAGGCCAAGCGTTCTTTAGTCAGTAGATGGTACATCCTGCCAGACCTGGGTCTTTCCCTTTAGGGCAGTGTGTTCGCTTCTGGCCCAGGGTAGGTCTAGAAATGCCATGAAGGAGCTATGGTCTGGAACTGGGAACTTTAGAAACCTACTTCGTGCCATATTTTACTGTGGCTGAAGTGGCATTCACATTGCAGGCAATGTCCTTCTCACTTTTCTCTTTCCTTTCCTGAGGCAGAAGGAGCCTCTCTCTCCATGGCCACCACCACCCCAAGGCCATGGCGACCACTGCTTGGCTACTGCTGTTGTTTATTCAAGGCCAAAGGGCGCTTTAGTCAGTAGTTGGTGAACTGTGCCAGACCTAGGTCTCTCCTTTCAGGGCAGTGGGCTCCCTTCTGGCCCAGGGAAGGCTGAGAAATACCATCTAGGAGCTAAGGCCCAAAACTGGAGGCTTTAGGAGTCTGCTTGGTGCTTTATTCCACTGAGGCTGAGCTGTTCCCCAAGATGCAAGATAAAGTTCTTTTTAGTCTTCCCTCTCCTTTCCTCAGGCAGAAGGAGTCTCTTCCCATGGCCAACATATCTGGGAACGTGCTGAGTTGACAGCTGAAGCCAACATGGTACTGGGTCTCCCCAAAGGCCTATGGCAATTGCTACTTGGCTACTGTTGATGTTTACTCAAGGTCCAAGGTTCCTCAGTCATTAGGTAAAGAATTCTGCCAGGACTGAGCCCTTCCCTTCAGGGAATCAAGTTATCTCAAGGCCTAGGGTGGGTCTAGAGATGTCTTCTGAGAGCTGGGGCCTGAAATAGGGGATTCAGGTCTCTGCTTGGTGTTTTATTTTACTGTGGCTGAGCTGGTATCCAAGTTATAAGAAAAAATCCTCTTTGCTCTTCCATCTCCTTTCTTTTGTACCCCATGTCTACTAGCTCTAAGCCCAGTACAATACCAGGATTTGCTCGGGGATTGCAGTCCTGTGGCCTAGACTGCTTTTCAAATTTATCTGGAATTTAGCCTGCAGTGGTGGCTTTAGCCTGCAGTGTACTTTAGCCAGGGTACTTTAGCCGGCAGTGGTGGGTCCAGCTGAAACTCAGGTTCCGAATGGTGGGACAGACAATACCGCTCTGGCTAGGGCTGGTCTAAATGCTCTCTTTGTGGGTACTGGCTGAATTCTGCCCATGTTGCCTTCTGCTGTGACAGGGCAGCAATGAGTTCCAATGCGAAGTCCCACAAGCACTATGTTTTCCCTCCCTGCAAAACACAGATTCTGTTTTTCCATGTTCCACATGGTACTGCCAAGGGGTGGCGGGGGGTTGCTACACGAAATTCAAGACTGCCTTTCCTACTCTCTTCTGTGCCTCTTTGCTTGAAATAATGTTACAATGAGGTACTGTGATTGCTGACCTGATTTTTGGTTCTTATGAAGATACTTTCTAGTATGGATAGTTGTTCAATTTGGTGTTCCTATAGGAGGACAACTGCTGGAGATTTCTATTCGACCATCTTGCTCAAATTTATATTTTCTACTCCCCTGACTGGTTACTTCTCCTGGCTTTGCTATCCCTTGGAATACTACCAGCAGCATTCCTTCAATTGTTCAAAGTGAAACCTTACATTTTCACTACAATATTCCGTGTCCAAACAGATTCTGAGTTCCTTCACAAGAAGAAAGGGCTTCAGATACTTTTTCTATTCTATTGCCATTACTTTAATTCATGCCCTAATTATCTTTTAGGTGTACTGCTATTTCTCATAATTAATATCTATCTTCCAATCGCTTTCCTCATGAAAGCTCCCTTACACACTGGTACATGAGAACTTTTACGAAAGCCTACATTCTTATCAAGTTGCTCTGTAGTCAAAAACCTGCAGCAACTCACTATAAAATCATAGAAAAAAGACTAATTAATACAGCATTAAAATCTTCTATTATGTGATTCCCATCTATGTTTTCAGCTTTATCTCTTAACAATTCTTTCTACAGTCATCATTCTCCAATTAATTCATTGTACTGTCCATTATCTAAGAATAGTCTATGATTTCCAATAGCTGAAATGGCTTTCTTCATTTTTTTCCTGCTATAATCTTGTCCATTTCCCAAGACTAGGTTTAAAAGTCTTTGTCTTAATTTCAGTATCTCTCCCCTACTCCCCTGCCATTAATTTTTTCATTTTCCTTGTCATTTGTTCTCCCATGGACTATTCTTGTTCCTTGTTCTTTTCCATTTACTGAATTAAGACTTACATCACAGTTTGGGTTTTATACATCTCTTTGCCTTCATTTAAGGGTCAAGGACAGTGCTGCAAAGATACAACAAAGACTGCAGTAGATACCATGTATTCTGTAAGTGTGTTTTGGTTTGATTATATTACATTATCAATCATAGAAGGGTTTAGCATAGGAACATTACTTTAGCACTCTGGAGCTGGGAAGCATAATGTACAAATTCCTACACGTTTAGTATTTGGATTTTTTTTCATGGAAATGAAGAGGACATTTGTTTCCCAGAATAGTACTGAACATCTTTGGTGTAGATAACCCATCACATTGATTTATTTGTAGGCACAGAGAGACAGAAAACACAGAGCATTCTGTGGGTTAACTGGGGCATATTTGTGCTATCAGTCACAACTACAGCTTCCTCTCCTAGATGCTCTGATGTTATGTGGAACAGTGACTGGCTGGATGGGAAGAAAGTAGGGAACTCTCTCTCTCTCCCTCAATGTCACTGAGTAGTACAGGGTGGTGACAGATGCTGCAGGGTACTTACTAAAAAGCACTGGCTCTTTTCTTCTTGCTGTCAGAGTAAAAGTCTGTTTGGGTGTCCACTTCATCAAGGAGTATCTTCCTGAGACTTGGGGGTAATTCCTGATTATGCCACTCATAGTAATATCATTCTTCTTCCTAGAAAATTTTTCTGAGAGATGTGAGACCCAATTCTGGTCAATAAAATATGAAAGAAATTTTGCTAGAGAAGTAACTTAATTCTATAAGAGATACACAAAAATTTTGTCTGCATTTTGTTGTGTCTGAAAGTGGGTGACACTTGGAATCATGGCTCTTAACTAATGATTATTAACAGATGCCACCGTTTGGACATTGCTGGCACCCTGAGAATTGAAAGGCAAAAACAATGAGCTCGGAAACTTGATACTGCCACAGTGCTGGGAAAACTAGACTTTGGGATTTTTATTATGTGACAAATACATTTTCCTGATTATTTGGGCCAGCTGAGTGTGTGTGGGATGGTTCTTTATTGTAGCTGGAGACACCCTGACACACAGGACTTCTTGTTGGCAACAGGCATCTTGCTCAGGTGGCAGATGCTAATCATTGCTAGGGCTTCATGGGACAAGCACATTATTTCTATTGCTTGCTTAAAAATTGTGCTGATATGTTGCTAGGTCCTGATTCTGTCATTTTTTTCATGGATCTAGTAACATGTCTTTAAAATATACTGTACAACTCCTTTGTAATAATTATCAAACTTACACTGACTAATGTTTATCTTCTTTATCAGTTTACAAGCTCTATGAGGGCAGTGACTGAATTTGCTAGGAAAATTCGTATATTTACAGAAATCAGTCAGAGCTGGAACAGAGGTGTTCAGTAAATAGGTATTCAGTTAATATCTGTAAAATGCATGAAAGAAGGAGTAAATAGAGACATAGAGAGCATCAGAAACATTCTCTCCGGTTATTTCTATTGCTCACACCTCCCCTTCCTTGCCTTCTTACCAATTCAGGATTAGAAAAGTATGCTGTGTCTTGAGTTTTAGGAGAAGAAACAGAAAAAGGAAGGAAGCTATCATTACAACTACTGTTTGCTCTCTCCCATTGAGTGGAGAAGAGAAAAGGAAACAAGTTTCAGGGGTAACTTACAAAATATTTTCATAAAGTAAAACTACAGTTGTCTCCCGTATTGCTTACTGGATCAAAATATTATTTAAGAAATGTTCAGTTACACTTTTTAAAGCCAAAATGAAGCTTAGAAATAATTCAATGGAACTTAGCTGAGCAAAGACTTATCCACCAACTATTTCAAGTTCTTCATTTTTCAGATGAAGAAAATGAAAGCTTCTGTCGTCAAGATCAATCTTAGTGTTTTTTTATTCTATGATGTAATAAAGAAGTGAATGTGGACCATCACATTCACTGGTAACAAAAAGGATATTTCCCTGGCAGTGCCGTTCCAATTCGGTAGTCAGTGTAGCTCTTGCTTGGATGGAAGTTGAAAATGAAAAGGAGACCTGCTCTTTCAAAGGCAATAATCTTATTACCTTCATGTTTTTCACTCACATGGGCCTGCAGGAATTAACACACATGTTACATTTAAATAATATGTAGATGCTGCTACAAGTACATTATTTTTCATCTTTGCCAATACTCGGTTTATTAAAACAAAAAAAAGTATTTCAGAACACTATATTTTTTTGAACATGTTGCCATTTTGCTATAAACTCTGAGCCAAAAACAATCTCTAAAATTGCTTAGTGGAGTATGCAAAGCTCACCAGACACTTGGCAACTTCATTGCACAAAAAGAGGAATAGTGTTGTGGCTCAGGTTTCAGGTAAAACCATGGCGTGTGTACATACTACCAAGTGTTTGGTTGTATATAGTAGATCTACTTATAAGTGAAGTTTTTTAAAGACTTTTTTAATCTCCAGCTTAATGTGGTTAGGGACATCAAACCACTTTTCAAAATTTAATGCAACATTGTTATTTTAATGTAGTTTCTGAAATTATAGTTTTCTTAAACATTTTACATTTTTACCCAACTTTGTCAGATTCAATGGCAACCTAAAGTCAATTACGATACTTTTTTCTTAATAAAAAGATAAGGTCTGAAAAGAAATTACATCTGTAAAACCTCTTCTTTTATTCATCATCATGTATTTACAGTTGGCTCTGAAAAGCCTTTGCTTTTTTACCACCACTGTCCCTCAGCCCCCGGCTCTGAGAGGACTTATTGCCATGCATATCAGCAGCACCACTCTTGGTAATTTAGAAATGAGAACTAAAGCTCCAGAGTAAACAGTGTGCCTTTTGGTATTCAACATTGTTCTTACTGAAAAGGAGCATCATTTTGCTCTCTCTTCTGGAAACAGCATTACTAATAAACGTGATTAGGGCATTTGTGTCATGGAGCAAATCTTACTGAATATATAAATACCTTTGTTTAGCCATTAAAAAAAAATCATAGACACCGAAGTAAAAACCCATCAACAGTAATTTCCAACAGCCCCAGTATAAACTAAATGGATTATAACGAACACATATTACATGCTAATTTTTGCAAGGAAAAAAGAAGCCTGTATAAAATTTTCACCTGTTAATTATGTTTTCTAAAACTTGTTGAAAACTGAGATATTAATTCCAGAGGACAGACAGGCTCATGAAAAATACAAAACAACATGCAGGTAAAATGGCATCTATTGAAATGACAAGTTAGAAACCAGTAAAGAAGAGAGAGAGAGAGAAAAAAAAAAAAAAAAAATAAAGAAATCTACATGTTGTCAAAGTAGCTTCTTTATGACAGCATAATTATTTACATAAAAAAAAGTGGTGAAAACAATTAAGATGTTTTCACAGCAGTTTTTAAAGTGCGTTCCCTGTAGAGCTTTTATCATTTATTTTAACCAATAAAAATACAAATTACAAAATTTAAACAATAACAACAACAACAACAAAAAATCCAGCAAAGTAAGCAGGGTATTATGTTTAAGATTTTCATTATCAATTGGAGAGACTTCAGTGACATGTTTTGACAACCTCAAGTATGTTATAGGACACTACACACTGAATAATAATGTGCTGTTTGAAAGATCTGCATATAGATTTCAACTGGTTGCCATTCGAAGCATGTACATCATTGGTGACTAAAACATAGCATTCACAGTAAAGAGCTTACCTGTGGGGCTGAAAGCCAACCAAATCTTTCTTCCAATCTATTCATATCCCTGTCAAAATTATTTAGGAACTTGTAGCGAAGGAGGTCATCATCAGTTAAATGAAACTGCCTTCTGGCATAATGGTAACTCTCATTATTTCCTTTTCTTGGGAAGTCTAACCATTCAGGATGCCCAAATTCATTACCTGCATTAAAAATGAAATGCAAATATCACCCTGTTACATTAGAATTTCTTACTAGTAATACATCAATAATTAGGTGTTTTTTAAAGTTTTTGAAATTCAGTTTCAGCTATCATTTACTAGGCCTGTGTCCTGTGGATGACGTACAGGTCTAGCTTAAAAACAGCAGAGTCTAGCACAGAAAATATTACATTTGGACCCAGGAGCCCAAGGTGCAGCTTCAGTTTGGCTGCTCACTACTTGTTGCACATCTTGGTTTCCTCAAGCACAAACTGAAGACAATTATCGATATACTTATTTTATTTCTAAAATAATCTCTGAGATCTCAGGGTAATTTCTGAAATTTCTGTTTCTATAATCTCTGAAATCTGTACAATGCTTGACAATTTCCAAAGGCTTTGTATGTAAGTTATTTTTTGATCCTCAAAGGAACTCTGTATTATATTCATTTCACAGACAGGAAATCCAAAGCTCTGGGCAGTTAAGGGCTTTGTCCAACTTCGCATAGTGGGCAAGCAACCATTAAAATTTAGTTCCACTGATTAAAATCCAGTTTTTCCTACCACATCACATTAGGAAAATATCTTCTATATCTCAGGTGCAAAGGAAACTCAGGTCATTAATTTTATTATTAATTTTCTGTATTCTTTTTTAGATCTATTTATTACTATTAGATGTATACCTTTCATTTCAAGTGTGGCTGAATGCTTATGCTGATTCTTCTGTGTGTATAGCTGAGACGCCTGGGTGGGGATCTATATAATATTATTTCTCACTATAATGATGAGAACCAGAAACCCAATAAACTTAAAAAATAAAACAATAACAAATACATAGTTTCCATTTTGAGAATCGATTTTAGATATTATTCGTCTAACCAATTGGTTCTTATTGTTGCTCTGAAGTTCAACTTCTATTTTAAGCCTTCTTTTCTTTCCCTAAAAATTAAATACAAAAATTTTCTTTCCTGTGCTAGAATTAATTAATGCTGTGATTTTCTAATTAGTGTTACAATTTCTAATTAATGCTGGAAATTTCTAATTAATGCTATAAATTTCTCCAATGAGTTAGAAAGTATCATAGCCAATACAAATGTGTCCTACTTCAAATAAACTGTATATTCATATTATAATAAATAAAAACTAATAAGCAAGGATGTAATTCAAAATGATTTATGGCAGAGGTGCTTTAAATAGTAAACTTTGCAAAGAAATTCTGCAATTTACATTTAATTTTTCAGGACCACATTCATCCAAATAAAAATATCATCCAAATAAATAGGGCTATAGCAGTTTCTTAAAAATTAAAGTGTCTACAAACATTTTGCTCAATTCAAATTTTAATTTAAATTATAGTATTTCTTATGTTGTCCACAGTGTGTCATAGCAGAGAACTGACTTTATGAGGCTATAATTACTTTAGGATGCTTTAAATTGATACAAGGAACTTCCCTCTGCTACATTTAAAAGTCCTGCCTAGGTCTAAAATCTGATTCGTATCAGCACAAGGTATACCCATGGCACAGCTTACTCCTTCAACCATAAAACTAGCAAAATAATGTGCCTCCAGAATTGTATTTGGAGCAATCTTTACTAATAATGACAAGACTTCCAGTCTGGGAACAAGTATATGTCCACATACCAATCCAAGGACTAGTGGGATTTTAACTAGTGGATGATTTACGAGAGACTAGAAATGCCATGAGGTAGCTATAGCATATTACCCTACAAACTGGATCCAGGCTTCCTATAGGCAAAATACTTTTCTTCTGGCACAGCTACGGGTCTCTGGGTTGATCCCAGTATTAATAAGCAATTCCTTCAGCCCTCTTCCATGGAGGCTGTTACATCATTGTCATCATGATTAACGCAGCAGCACATGCTTAATTTCTGTTTGTTATGTTTCCGGCACCATTGCAAGCATTGCACATGAATTAACTCTATCTTCAACAATTATCTAAGGTAGGTAATATTATTATTTCAATTGTATAGATAAGGAAGCTGAGGCAGAGATGTTACACAGTAATTAAGGAGTTGGGCCTGTGAACCCAGACAGTCTGGTTTCAGCCCCCTGACTCTTAATTTCTACTACAGCAGTTGCACAGAAGTAAATTCCATGGAAATACAGGGCCAAGAATGACCAATCTCTCATACCTGGACCAAGATTCCACGCTAGTGGAATGACATGCACAAATGCATCAGAATGAGGTTAGATGTAGTGAAAAGTTCGGTTTTGCCACAAAATAGCACTTGTGGTGAGTAGAAAAGGTAGGGCTATTAGGATGAACTTTATAAATTTTGTACCTTATATTGCAGGCATTATGGAATCAAAAGCTATTTTAAAGTAGGGAAATGAGAATTTCAAATGTGTTTATTATTAAGATATCTCTGGTACACCGTGGTAAAAAGACTGGATATCAGGGGACGCTGAATGGTAGGAAAACTGGTATGGAATCCAACATATAAGAGATGATGAGATGCTGTGGGAATAGAGAAAAGAATGATGGATTCAAATGGCATTTCTGAGATGGAAATAATAATATTTGATGACTGACTGAATGGAGACAGTGAGGAAAAGGAATGTCGGAAGGCAATTTTGAAGTTTTGAGTTCAGGAAACTGAGTAGTGACAGCATTAAGTACGCTAAGGGAAATGATGATAGAAAGTTTGGGGTAAGAAGATAATGAGTCCAGTTTTAGGCCCGCTAAATTTAACACCTGAAGAATACGCCGGCATCTGTGGATTTAGAAGAATGATAAAAATAAGGTACTGAAACACAAGAGAGAACTGTAGGTGGGGAGAAAGAGTAATTTGTAAAGCTATCATAAGGAAAGACAATGACAGTCATCAGAGAAAAAGGGCCACAGCCAGCACACCAAGAAACTGAAGGCAGAAAGAAGCCTTAATGGGGAAGACTGAGAGCAATGGTGAAGGGGACATTAAAAGAAAACATAGAAGGCTAAGAAGATTCCCAAGGAGGGTGGTCAGTAGCGTTAAATGCTACCAAAAGATCCTGAAGAGTGTTTTCCAGCTTGGATTCATTCTCTCCACCACATTCAGGTAACACCTATCAA